CCCCGTGTTGTCAGAGATTCACCCTCCCTAGGAAAAGTCCCATGCAGCCACATTGGTTTCTTTTTTCTTCCTCTTGGATATCAGTTGCCATTGTGCTGTAAGAGCCATGTTTAAATAACCTACAGTTTTTAAGTCAAGGGCAGTAATCAGACATGAAAGGCTTTCGGGGTGTGGTATGGGGAATCGACTAGAAGCTTGAAGTAGCATGCTTCGGGTTTTTCTAGATCAGCGCTTCTCAGACTTGAATGTGCACACAAACCTCCTGGGGATCTTGTTAAAATGCAGGTTCCTGATCCAGAGGGTCTGGAGTGGGGCCCGGGATGCATTTTTAATGAGTTCCTACAGTGGCCAGGCCCTAGGAAGGCTTAAGTCCCGGATGACAGGTCCAGGCACTGGCCTCTGGTAGGTGAGATCGCACGTCTGTAGTCAGTGGTTGTAAAGGAGTTCGAACAATCCATCGGTTGCCTCCCGCACATGCCGCGACCAAGGCCAGGGACAGAGCCTGGAGTTCCGTTGCTTCTTGTCACAGCAGGACCTCTGCTCTTCAGAAAACTGTCCCGTAGCCGCCTCTCATGGGCCCCAGGGGGCCAGTGTCGGTACCTGCGGTGTGTCTGCGTGTCAGGTCAGAAAACTTCCTTGTTTTTTTCTTCCTAGTTCTGAGCATGCTCCACAACCCACTGGGCAGTGTCCTGGGGAAGCCCCCCTTGAGCTTCCTGCCGCTGGACCCCCTTGGATCTGACGTGGTGGACAAGTTCCCAGCACCCTCAGTTAGAGGGTCTCGCCTGGACACATGGCCCATCCTGGACTCCCGTTCCACCAGCCCCTCTGACTCGGACACAAGTGGCTTCAGTTCTGGATCAGATCATCTTTCGGATTTGATTGTATGTAGCGTGTCAGGCAGTGGGGTGGGAGGGCTGGCGGGCGTGACGTGGGGCGTGTGCCAAACTGCCAGAATGCTTGGGGGTGTGGAGGCTGTTGAGGGCACGTACAGACCTATTTATTCTGGACTGAATGGAGGGTACCTTGTACACCCACTGATGGATGCATTTCAGGACCTGAGCCCGGGGTACTTTTTATGAGTTTCTCCAAGAGCCGTTGGGTAACAGTTATTTCACGAGCAAAAGTGGGAGTCTTGGCAGAGTTCTGTTTCCTGACCTACACAGGGTTTCCTTTAGCCTTTACACACTGTTGCTTATGTTCCTTTATGTTTGATATCTCAGAGTTGGTTTTTTTTTTTTTTTAAATATATTTTTACTGATTTCAGAGAGAGGAAAGGAGATGGGAAGAAAGAGAGAGAAACATCAATGATGAGAGAGTCATTGATCGGCTGCCTCCTGCACGCCCCCGACTGGGGATCGAGCCTGCAACCTGGGCATGTGCCCTGACCAGGAATTGAACCCCGATCGCCTGGACCCTATGTTGACACTCAACCGCTAAGCCACACCCTGCTGGGCTCTCAGTCTTTAAGTGAGGGTTTTAAAAATCACACGTTGATACAGGCATGCTCCATCTTACTGTGCTACCTGGGTGTTGGATCTTTTACAAACTAAGGCAAGACCCTTCACCAGCAGAAAGATTATGACTTGATTTATTGTGAGATGTGCTTTCTTACTATGGTCTGGAGCCAGACTCGCAGCATCTCCAAGGTGTGACTGTCATTAGCAGGGCCGAGATTTTAATCCAGATCTAATTGCTCCTGGCTCCAGAATTCTCTCCTCTGACCCACGCCAGCTCTCAGCCTGAGACCACTGTGCATCTCGGAGATACTGCCCCAGAGTTAATGTTGCATCCAGGTTCCTTACTACCTGCAGTCACATGTGACAGGGCACCCATGCTGTGTGGAGCGGACGAGTGGATTAGATGAGGGATAGGGGCCACCAGATGTGACTAGATGGAAATCCCCTTACAATGAAATGCAACTTCAGGTGCCTCCTCACCTGGCCTCTCCGCTCCAAGACCCCTGAGCTGGCTGTTCAGTGAATGGAGGGCTTATTTCCTACCCTTCCTCCTCCATATCCAGGACTGGCGACCTGGTTGTGGTTTCAGATTCCCATTCATAGCATGACCGACTGTTAGCGCCCACCTTGTCTCCCGTCAGCTCACTTGGAGCATTAGCTGGCGTCCATTCTCAGGCTGCTCCCAGAGGGGTCCCCAGAACCAGGGCCCTTTACTTCTCTGAGCTACAGTTTCCTCCCTGTAATGGGGTGAGATGAGGTGCCTCGAGTGATGTCACTAGATGGGGTTCCGTCCATCTTGGAAACCTACCTCGTAAAGCTTTAATATTTGGGGATTTTGTTTAAGAGCTTTCTCTTATATCTCGCCCCAAGGGTTTATTGGTGGAGGGATTTGGATGGACCATTCACAGAAGAGGAACTAGAGGCAGTGTTTGAACTCTGGGAAGATATTCTGTTGAGTGATTATTTTGGTTAGTTTTTGTTCACGATGTGATATCATCTTACCCACCGCTTACATCAGAAGAATTTACAGCCTTGGCCCAAGCTGGGAGTGAAACTCGTGTTCTTGTACTTTCCTGATAGAACATCCCCCTGCCCCCAGAAAGCATTTTGATTCTCGACCTGGAACCTGACCAAAGAAAACAAGATATGAAGCTACATCTTAAAGTATTTATTTATAATCCCGAAAACCGAAAGAGTATCTGAAGGTTTATTAGAGGAACAGATTGGGGAAATGTAGCTTCTCCCCTACATAAAATATCATAAATTAATTAAAAACATTCACGGAGACTGGCAAAACGGAAAAAAAAAAGTCGACTTGGGGAGGAAAGGATTTGTTTAGTTAGCTCAGGACAACTGGTCTTAAAAAGCTTAGAAAGAAGGTCTGAAAGGAGATATATCCAGATATACCATAATGGTATTTTTTATGATTTCTGTAGTGTGATTATTGACTTAACAACAAACTGTCCTTTAAAAACCTGTATCTCCCTTTTCTCTTCCCCCAGTCAAGCCTCCGCATCTCCTCTCCTCTGCCCTTCCTGTCTCTGGCAGGGGGTGGCCCCAGAGATTCTTTAAAGATGGGGGTTGGGTCCCGGGTGGACCAAGAGCAAGCTGCTCTCGCCGCTGTCACTCCCTCCCCAACCAGTACGTCAAAGAGATGGCCAGGAGCATCTGTGTGGCCATCCTGGGACCTCCTGGAAGCCCCCAAGGACCCCTTCAGCATAGAGAGAGAGGCCAGGCTGCACCGGCAGGCGGCAGGTGAGTGTGGCTGGGGGCAGGCCTGTGCCTGAGGCCTCATCCTGGGTCCCAGGCAGGTGAACTGTCTGGAAGAGGACTTGGCTGCACGTTGAGGTCTCTGGATCTGCAAAGCATCATCTGGTCTACGGAGTGAGTGCTAACAGGGACAGAGTCGGGCTCTGCGAGGTTGGCAGAGAGGAAGGCGGCCGATAACCTGAGCACAGGGCTGTGTCTCTGAGGGCTGGGTCCATCTCTCTCATGCTCCTTCCTGGAGATTGGCTGTGTGCGGCTGGCTGTCACTTTTTACTGTCACGGGACACCCTGAGGGTGATGCTCAGAGTTTTGTCTCCCTCCCCCTTTCTAATTCAGAGACCTGTTGGACACAACCCCTGCTGGAGCTCCCTTCCCCGAGGCTTTCTGATGGGTAAACTCGGGCACACTGGGGTGGGCAGCCTCTAAGGTGAGGGAGGTCCCCACGTGTCCCGGTCTCTCATAGACCTTCAGGTTTTGTCCTTTATAGGACACATACTCCATCTGTTTCCACCTTATACCAGTACTCAGAAATAAACGAGTTACAGAAGTCATTGTTGACCAAGGCTTCAGGGAGGTGCTTCCGATCCTGGTTCTGGGGTGCTGGAGTTGATGACTAGGCTGGTGTGAGGGTCTCCGTTCCCTGTGTCTCCAAGTGGCATCACTGTGTCTCTTGGCTCACGGAGCTGGGCCTGACCTTGTCCTCCCCAACAGTGCTGCTGCCCTGTCCACATCTTGGTCTTGGCAGCCGTCTTTGTACCTTCTCTAGTGCCCTTGTTTCCTTGTGGAACGGCATCACTGTGCTTTTGGATGACGCCATTCTATTGACTTCTGTTTTTGTTCCCAAAATACTGCTGATGGTGCCCAGTTTCTTGCTACAGCACCACTCTGGGCCTGTGCCTTTTAGGGAATGGCATCCGTTTCATTGCCCGAGTGGACGTGATGGTTGATGTCCTTGGCTCCCTGACCTGGTGCTGAAGGAGGGGAGTGCAGTGGTCAAGGCCTGGTTACACCCACCAGGTCAGTCTCTGATCTGGAAGGGCACAGGCTGAGTGGGGACAGGATTAAAGACTGACAGAGGGCTGAATTGGTCACCAAGAACAGAGAGGCCTCTAGAAACCACCAGGGCCGAACAAGAGAGTGGTTCTCCTCTACACACAGCAAGGGTTTCCTGACAAGGTGCTCTGAGTCCGGGTTAGAGAAACCTCCCAGAGGGTCTGAGCAGACTCGTCTTTGGAATTAGTAGGATGCCGAAGGATCATGGGGGAATCGGTTACTTTATGGAAAGCCCAGTGTTTGTTCAGGTCCTGCACAGATAGCTCTGGTGGTGGTTCGGCCTGGCTCAGACTTGGGAACAGTTGTACACTCTTATCTTGTTGGATTGCTAGAGGTGGTTTTTTGTTTGTTTATTTAAGATATATCTTTATTGATTTCAGAGAGAGGAAGGGAGAGGGAGAGACAGAAACATCAATGATGAGAGAGAGTTATTGATCGGCTGCATCCTGCATGTCCCCTATTGGGGATTGAGGAGCCTGCAACCTGGGCATGTGCCCTGACCGGGAATCGAACCAGTGACCTCCTGGTTCATAGGTTGAAGCTCAACCACTGAGCCACACCAACCAGGCTAGTGGTGGGTTTTATTGGCAGTGTCCTAACTCCTGTGATTGACGAGTTCAGAGCGGAGACAGGGAAAGCAGAGTCTCATTGTTTCTTGTGTGAATGGTTGGGAACCAGTTAGCCTTTGGGAAACCGTACACAAAATTGTTCTCTCTATGCTCAAGTAATTTTAATTTAAATTATTGTTGTAAGCAATAATGAGATAAAACTGCTTTGTGGTTAAATCACCAATTATATGTTTGAGAACAGCTTGGGCTGTGACCATGTTTATCCTGTGCATCTCAGATTTTGTGGAGACAGAATTGGTGAGTTAGGGTTGTCTCACTGGGCTGATGGGACTGGTGCGATGTCAGTTTTCCTGCCTTTCGGGATAGTCATGGGCATTCTTTCAGGCAGCCTGGCTGCAGCTGTGGCCTGTCCAGAGAAGGGCGGCAACTTTGTTCATTCTCTGACCCCCATTTCCTTCTTTCTCTTCCCCCAAAGCTGTGAATGAAGCCACCTGTACCTGGAGTGGCCAGCTTCCTCCCCGCAACTACAAGAACCCCGTCTACTCCTGCAAAGTGTTCCTGGGAGGTGTTCCCTGGGATATTACGGAAGGTGAGCTGCCTTTGAGACCTCCCCTCCCCATGTGGCAGGTGGGGCCTGTCTTCCAGGAGCATGGAACTTGGGCAGGAGGCTGGGGATGACCTCTGCCTGAGCACAGGGGTTCCCAGAGCCCTGATGGGAAGGGGCATTTCCTACACTTCCATGATGCTCTGTTTCTGGTGCTTACACTTGCTCGACACTGGGGTCCATTCTGAGTCACTGGGGGGGGGGGCAGAG